CTTCTGCCTCTTTAGAGTGAAATGACAAACTAACAACTGGCTCACTGCATGGAATTGAGGCCAAAGACAAGAGAGGACTCTGGTTTAGTGGAGTGTGCAAGAGTCAGGAGATAAATGGCCTGGAAAATCATACTACATTTCAACTAATGAGGACAATTTATTTACACCTGTGATATATCACAGATGTAGCCTAGAACACTGGAATGTCACAGGAACTTACTTTGTATAGATGGGCTCACACGTTTATTGTGGAAGCCAACTCACAATGATCTTTCCAAGTCATTTTTACAGGTGGAGAGTATTGGCACAAAAGGCTCCCTTTTCTCATCACAAAAGTTTTCTAGGTGAACTAGATGAGATAATATGATAGATCTGAAGATGCTTCTTTTATTGGATGATGTTGGAAATGTTTCACTTCGTTCAGGTTTACTTCCCTTTTAAAAAAAATCGGTGAAATCTCAGTCCTAATGTGAAAATATAAATGAAGTCCAAACTAGATACATATAGTTGAGCTTCCACCAACAAACTAGATAATGAATCAGATGTAGGATTTCCTATGAATTGTAAAAACTGTAGCTAGGATCCTTGAAGGTTATGCAAAGTAGATGAGGAATAATACTCTGGAAAAAGAGTTATTGTAACCATTTGTTTTCATACGCAGTGTCAATCCTATCCACAGCTGTTTTGTTTCTGGGTTTTGTTGGGTTTGTTTTAACTCTTTTAGGTTGTCAGAGAAAAGCATTTTATTTTGACCTAGGTGTTCCCCACATCTGGAGTGGTAGATTAGCATTATGGAAAGGAAATGGGTGAAAGTGTTAGACACTTTTTCATAGAGCTTTCTTCATGGATCTTTTCTACAGCTTAGAAAAATTCTACTTTTGGGACTACAAACCCTGGAATCCGCTCAGTGGACATGCTGACTTGGGAATTCTAGGAGTTACAGTCTAAAATAAACAAAACTCTTCCATCTCTTGTCTCATTAATTTGAACCTGAATTGGTTGCAAAGGCTGCTATTTCTAACATGGAAATGATATTTTGATTTACACAAGGCAACAGATTGAGTAATACTAATAGCTAATAACTGAGGGGTGGTTTGAATGCAATATTCCTGCTTCTTGGCAGAATGGGGTTGGACTGGATGGCCTATGAGGTTTCTTCCAACTCTAGGATTCTATGATTCTAATTGAAATATAATTGAAATGTAGGGTTTGCTGTTATTTGCAACGTCAGGAATCCCTCTTTCCTGTGTCTTGGAAGATCTCCCAATGAAGATGAGCGTAGTCCTGTAAGATGGAAGGCGGTCTAATGAATTAGCCGAGGGTTGGAGAACACATGAACCCCAGCTGGATGAGGCTCCGATATGTTTACGCTCTGCATTGTCTCGGGTTGCCATTGTCATTCCTTCTTCCATAGCTGCTTGGGGAGGAGAACCAGCGGAGTTTCCAGGCACTTTACGCAGCCAATCGGATGGTGAACCTTTGCGACGTGACCGACCCTTCGACCTTCCCTGCGGTGCACGAAGTGGCCTGCTCAGTCTTCAGGCAGAAGAATGGGGAGAGCCAGCACACCGTCCACGCCATGGGCCACTGCCACATTGATTCTGGTGAGAGGAATGCTCAGGATAGGGACCGGCACAATGGGAAGAGACATCAGGGATAGGGGACCGGATTTGGGGGCGCACACTGAAGCCAAGGGATCGTTTTCCAGTGAGAACAAGGTTCAGGATGGAAAAGGAGAGGGCAGAGTGGTTTTTCTCTAAATTTTCTCTATATTTCCAGTGCTGTACATCTTGACATTTAATAATAATAATAATAATAATAATAATAATATCCTGATTTTTAATAATAATAATAATAATAATAATAATAATAATCCACCACCATCTCCCCAAAGGGGACTCGGGGTGGCTTACTATTTCCAGTGCTATTCATCCTGACATTTAATAATAATAATAATAATAATAATAATAATAATAATAATTTATTTATACCCCACCACCATCCCCCCAAGGGAACTCGGGGTGGCTTACTATTTCCAGTGCTATTCATCCTGACATTTAATAATAATAATAATAATAATAAATAATAATCTTGATTTATACCCCACCACCATCTCCCCAAAGGGGACTCGGGGTGGCTTACTATTTCCGGTGCTGTGCATCCTGACATTTAATAATAATAATAATAATAATAATAATAATAATAAACTTGATTTATACCCCACCACCATCTCCCCAAAGGGGACTCGGGGTGGCTTACTATTTCCGGTGCTGTGCATCCTGACATTTAATAATAATAATAATAATAATAATAATAATAATATACTGACATTTAATAATAATACTAATAATAAACTTTATTTATACCCCACCACCATCTCCTCAAAGGGGGTTCGGGGCGGCTTACTATTTCCAGTGCTGTTCATCCTGACATTTAATAATAATAATAATAATAATAATAATAATAATAATAAACTTGATTTATGCCCCACCACCATCTCCTCAAAGGGGACTCGGGGCGGCTTACTATTTCCAGTGCTATTCATCCTGACATTTAATAATAATAATAATAATAATAATATCCTGATTTTTAATAATAATAATAATCCAAACATGTAAACAAAGCAAAAGTACAGCAAACTGAAGCCTGCGCTTCTCATCTCAGCCTGGCTGTGGCCTTACGAGGAGACGATTCGTAAATGCGCTCGCAGCTGGATCACGGTTGTTCGGCTCATGGAGAAAAACCCAGAGTTCACCTTTGTGTGCTCACAGGTAGGAATGCCTCTCTTTTATGCCTTTTTAGATGTCATCTATGACATTGAGAAGTTCACTGTGGATGGAATGCAAGAGAGAGAGGGTTCAAGGGTAGGAGAGGATCTCTTTCGCACATATTACCAGGTCTAGATTCCCTGATTGGAATCAATAATAAATAATAATAATAATAATCATCATCATCATCATCATCTTTATTTCTACCCTGCCACCATCTCCCCAAAGGGGACTCGGGGCGGCTTATATGAGGCCAAGCCCAGTAGTGCCATCAATTCTCGGCATATTCCATTAAAATGTCCAAATAGCAGGTAATTGTTTCCCCATTAGCGTAGATTCCTTCCCTATGTATTGATTTATTTAGTCAAATGTTGTACCCTTAATTATATGTATTGTCAAAGGCGTTCATGTCTGGAATCACCGGTGGTGCAGTGGGTTAAACCCCTGTGCCGGCAGGACTGAAGACCGACAGGTCGCAGGTTCGAATCCGGGGAGAGACGGATGAGCTCCCTCTATCAGCTCCAGCTCCTCATGCGGGGACATGAGAGAAGCCTCCCACAAGGATCATTAAAAACACCAAATCATCCGGGCGTCCCCTGAGAAACATCCTTGCAGACGGCCAATTCTCTCACACCAGAAGCGACTTGCAGTTTCTCAGGTCGCTCCTGACACGACAAAAAAACCCCAAAAAACGGGTTGCTCTGAGTTTTCTGGATTGTCTGGCCATGTTCCAGAAGCATTCTCTCCTGACGTTTCACCCACTTCTATGGGAGGCATTCTCAAAGGTTGTGTAGTCTTTGGAAACAAGGCAAGGGGGGGTTTATATATCCGTGGAATGATGCCCAAGGTGGGAGAAAGGACTCTGCTAGTGTCCAACAGACCCCTCAACCTGTGAGGATATAGTTTCCAACAGACCCCTCAACCTGCCAGAGTTGTGGTCAAAACGTCAGGAGAGAATGCTTCTGGAACATGGCCAGACAGCCCAGAAAACTCACAGCAACTTCATAGTTATAGTCAGCCATCAACATTGATTGACGTTAGGGCTGCAGGACCCTGCAAAAGTGGGGGAAATGGGAATAAGAAATGACTTGATAATTCCTAGGGAGCGTTGTTCTGTGAACCTCTCGATCCTGCCGTGCAATTCAGTGCTCATAGTTGTGCTAGAAACTTCTACAATAGAGATTCCTCTAGGCACCCTTGGAATCAAATCTGCAAAAGTTGAATCTGTAAATATGGAGAGGCAATTGTACATTTATTCAAAGCGCATTGTATGGGAAAGTGATTCAGCGTGACTTGAATGATTTCTTAGCTTAAAGGGTTGGTGCATTTCGGGTGGGTGAAGTGGAGTCTTACTGAGATTACGTACGCGTTACTTTTGGCGGCCGTCTTCCCTCCAGGCCCAGCAGTTTGAATGGGTGAAGACGCGGTATCCTGGATTGTATACTGCGATTCAACATTTTGCCAAAGAAGGGCGTTTCATCCCCGTTGGAGGTACCTGGGTGGAAATGGTGAGGATCCAGCACCCACTTTTGTGGGTGTCACGCAGGCTGCTGAGACCAGAGAGAACATCGTATTTTTTTCCCTGGGAATTTTCTAGGTCCTCTTTCTAGGAAATTGTTGTAGTTCATCCTTCGATGTCTCTGGGGATTCTGGGCCTGCAAGTCAGCAGGAGATTTTAAGCCCTGAAACGGAGTGGTCTCTGCGCCCAGTCTCTCATGAAGGCCACATTCCAGAGAGGGGCCCAGACAGGAATAACCCCCTGACTGTAAAACACCCCACGTTGAATAGGAAAACAATCCTTTTATTGAAGATAAGTAAAAACAGCAAAGTAAAGACAAACACTTTAAAGGAATAGGTAAATCCAATTAGGTAAGAAGATAAGCAGGATACAAATCAGTCCAAGGTAGAGTTCAGCAATGCTCAAAAACAAAGTCCACAACTCTCTAACAAAATCCAAAGAAACAGGAAATGTTGATCCAAGGCATGAGCAGGTAATCCCAAGAGACAAAACTCAGACCAGGAAACAAGAAATCTTTTAAGCATGAATCTTCCAAGAAAAGCTTCTCTACGTCGAGGACAAGAACTAAACGGTGCTTCATTTGACTGTATTTTCCATGCTTGGAACTTTTAAACCTTTCCAAGCACTCAGAAACTGGTTTCGCTTTCCTTGAGCGGCCCTTATCTTTTTCTCTTGAAGCCTGGCAGAACACCGAAGGACTTGCTCAGCCTGTCTGTTTTGATTAATTTCCGCCCGCCTATCTATATGCGCATTAGTTCCTGCAGGTTGCTTTCAAAACCCAAATCCTGTTTTCTGAGTTGTTTTCAAGCCCCAAATCCTGTTTTCTGGGTTGTTTTCAAACCCCAAATCTTGTTTTCTGAGTTGTTTTCAAACACCAAATCCTGTTTTCTGGGTTGTTTTCAAGCCCCAAATCCTGTTTTCTGAGTTGTTTTCAAGCCACAAATCCTGGGAACTCTCTGGGTGCAATTCAGGGAGTAAACCATCATCCCTATACCCTGTAGGAACATTCTCATGGGAAACTACACTTTGAACAGAGATCTCCTGGTCATTCTCTGCATCAATATCATTGACCAAAGAACTGCCACCTTGAAACTCATTGACATCATTCCCCACATCCAAAGCTCCCTGATTCTGAAACACAATCACAGGCTGAGCTCCAGCATACAGACAATACATAAACAAAGAACTGGC